TAATGGTTGTGACAAATTACTACAAGACCTGATACCTTTCCTCATCTGTGCACTTTTAACGGATTTTCTTTTCGGAGGATCCGTAAATTCACGTGGTGCATGTTTTGTTGTTGCGGTATAACATGACAAGCGAGTAAAATTTGCAGTAAAACTAAAGTCGCCAAATTCGTTGATTTCAGTAAATCTAAAGTCGCCAAATTTGTTGATTTTTTCAATCTCCATTATCCTACTTTCAAAGGAAGATATCAATTTAAATAGTATATCTTTGTTTTTATTCTGATTTTCTTTCAAAGTCTTATATTTCTGACTACTTCTACAGAATTCTGAAACATACGTAGCATCATCCAACTCTTCTTTCAGTCTTTCAAGCGATGTTTCAACCTGTTTTAGATACAAAATTCTGTCGCCTTTTGATTCTGCATTCTTTCTAAGAATCTCCTTGAGCTCTTTAGCTTTGGTTGAAAGATTGTCAAGATAATCATTTTTCAGCTGTTCGATATGATTTTGGAATTTAGAAAACACTATTTCAGTAGCCTCAAATATCTCTTTAGTTTTGGCTTCTATTTGTGTAATGTTTTCCTCTTGTTTATTTTGTATACTCTTGAATTCGTCTTCCAGTTTTATCAATTCTTTAACAAGATTATCAAACTCGCCCTTTCGTATTCTTTCTGCCGACTCCTTTACAGTTTCTATTTTGTCACATTTTCTATGTTGAACACAAATACACATTGTGCAGCAAGGAACAGAATGATCCAAACAAAGGAATTCTATTTTTCTCTCTGCATGCTTAGGGCATTGCTCTTTGTTGCTGGTTTTCACGGGTGACAGCTTCAATTCTTTTAAAGATATAACCTTGTGGTCCTTGGTCAGGGAAATACGCCTGTGGTATTTAGCACACATATCACAGAGTCTCTCTTTACATTCATAACAATATCTACTAGCTTCACATTCCTCCTCGTCCCTTTTGCATGTATCACAATAATTTTCGTTTTCTTGATTTTTGGATACTTCGCTTAGGATTTCATTCACAGGGAACTGAGTCGCCCAATTTATTGGTTTACTTGTAAAGATTTCCACCGGAATGAAGTTTCGGCACAACGGACAATGGAATCCTACAGGAGTTTCTTTAGAATTACATGTAGATACGATGTGGGTTGACAAACATTCGTGGCAAAATGAATGTGAACAAGGTAAGTACCTTGGAGTTTTAAATTGTTCAAAACATATCGAGCATTTTGTGAAATCACAACACATGCCACAGTGAACATCAAGTTCTTCTGAAGAAGATGCCATTCTATATGTATACGGTACGATCCACACTGCCTTAAAACACGTACCTTTTTTCAACAGCGGAAAATACTCGTACCCCAGAAATGTATGGCGGCATTTTGTAGAATTTTAATGCAACTTAGTCATGGACGCAACATGTCATTTCCTTTATGTAGTCCTTCAGAATGCAATTTAACAGCTCGTACTTTTGAACTCTTCTTGAATTAAATCCTACGGTTCTCGGTTGCAAAAATGCGCATTGAATAAGGTATTGAGGGTAAAATTTAAAAAGAATTGAAAGTCTTAAAAAATCAATATTCCTCAGATGATCTGACGTAATTTATATTTACTTTGCAAAGGTTCAGATTTCGATCAATATTCAAACAAGAGGTCCAGGGGCCACATCGCTCACGTGAGCAACTGGCTATATAAAACCTAGAAGAAAAATCGGTTAAGTATTGAAAAGTTTAAACATAAGAGTGGGTTCAAGGGAGGAGGGAGAGGTAGGTATTTGAACAAACTTCAATATGTACTTCCTACGGATACTTTTAAATAAAAATTATACATAATGACTTTGCAGTTTATAAGATGAAAATGTTTATTGATATAGTCTTTATATTCCTTTGTATAACTATGATCCATTTTTATGACTCCTCTAATCTCCTGGTTGGTCTTGATTTGAACTTTGAACAAATTTGAATCTACACTACCCGGGGATGCTTCCATAATGAACAATTACAGCTTGACTGTTAAGACGATTGTTAAAGATTTTTCCTATATATTCCTATGTTTCATTTTTCATGGCCAAGAAGTTCTTGAAAAGAAGATTTTCAAAGATTTTGCCAATGTATTCCTATGTTAAACTTTGAACCCCCCCCCCATCATGGCCCCACCTTACCCCCGTGGTCATGATTTGAAAAAAAAAAAACAAACTTGAATCTATCCTATATGCTCGCCTATAAGTCGGTTTAGGTTAATTTGGAGGGATTTGTCATTGTCGGTGCACCTTTTCGGCAGAATCGTTTGACATTTCAATTCACTGATATTTTTACATGGTTTCCATTAATATTTTTCGAAATTACGCCGATATTCAATTTTAAATCATTAAACAAACAAATAAAGCACACTTAAGATATAGATATTGCTATTAAATAAGTTAATACTTGTACTATATGATTGTATAATCTTTGAATGCATAAATGATTATACAATAGACTTTGCTCTTCAATAATATAAAACTGCTACATGTATTAAACTGTCCAGATAAAATACCAATCTCTTTATCACTCATTTATAAGTAGGACACAGAGTTTTGGACAACCCCCCCCCCCCAAAAAAAAGACTTATAGGCGAGTATATACGGTACCCTACCAGAGGACACTTTCCCATGAGATTCCTGGGCCAGTTGTTCTTAAAAAGAAGATTTTAAAAAGTTGCCACTAATTTTTCACTAATTCATAATTCTCTCCCTTTAGAAGAGGGCGTGGCCATTCAGTTGAAGAACATTGAATTCCATTCACCCAAGGATACTTTGTAGCAAGTTTGGTTGAAATTGGCCCAGTGGTTCTTGAAAAGATGAAAATGTGAAAAGTTTACGACGACAACAACAACGACGCCAACGAAAACGACGACCACAGACAATAGACAAATTTTGACCAGAAAAGCTCACTTGAGCCTTCGGCTTAGATGAGCTAAATTCAGATTTCGATCAGTACTTTAAAAAAAATATAGATGAATAGAAGTTTTACCTATACTTAGGTCTCTTCAATAGTTTTTGGAGTTTAGGATGTTTATTTAAACTTTAACAGAAAATAAACATTTACGTCGGCATCAGCCAACTTGCATACTAGTATATCCTGGCAGATGCAATCGAACTCATATTTGCCTTTTAAAGCATTTTTTAAGGGCATACTCAAGGTAGTTTGAACGTTTTTGTTTGTTTTTTTCCATGGAGTTGAACTGTGTGCTATATTTTAATGTCTATATATAGTACGCTTCTTCCAAATCTATTTTGGATGAAACATCTAAATTATATGTTCAGTAATTTTAAATTTTTTCTTTGTATCATCCGAGAAAGAGCTCGGTTCACTTTATTCATGAAGAATATGGAGATAACGAACAGCATTCAACATCAAAGTCCATAAAACAATACAAATTAGGAGCAGAACAAACACAGGCCTCCGAAACATCAGACGTGGGATCAGGTGTCATGGAGGAATGAGCATCCCCTGCCGACCGGTCACTCCCGCCGTGTGTATAAAATGGCCCTTTAGATATACAAGTTGATTGATTAACACTTGATGATCCATTTGAAGCATTGAAATAAAGAAGATGCTTAGTGCCTTTATTTCCTATTAAAAATTTCAACCTAAAAATTCATGTCTTGGAGAAGTGGCTTTATGAAATTGCAATGTACTTGAATTTTAAGGTAAACATGTATATTTGAGTACTTTAACTGAAGAAAAATAATATAAGCGCACTCTCTAATCTAAAATGTTTTTTTATTGATAATCTAATTTCTTAAAATGTCTTTTAATCCTCAGAATCAGTTCTATCATTTACTAGTTTGATATTTTAGATCAGAGGTTGCGCTCTATATTAAATATCGAAAAATAGCTTTACAAATTGGCCGTTTTTTGTAGGCTTTTTCAGAATATGAGGAAACTGACGCATTTCGAGACGACATAACGCATTGACTAGCCAGGAAATTACGTCATTTTTGATAGATATTCACAGGGCCAAAAAAGGCATAAGTGAACATTGTTCTTTCATCAATTGATATCTTTCAAATATTGTATGCTAATTTTTTGTCGATGGAAAGCTGATTACACTCTAATCTTAAATCAATGATATCTTGAAAAAAGTATCAGTAAGGTACTTTGCATATGTCTTTTTATGAATAAAAAATAGATTGCAAAAATTCAAGAAATCATAATTTAGAGAAAAGGCAGCAAAGAAAGCATGCATTTTACAACTTGCAAGTATGGATAACCCTATGTACATGTATGACTATCATATTTTCTAAAAAGATATATTATTATAATTCTGGGTTCTGAATCAAGTGTACATACTTTACACGTAATATTCCTTGAAGTGTAATGCAATATTTAGCATTGCTTTTTTATATATCTCTACTTACTCGCGTTATGGGTAATTGATAATGAATGATGGACAACTTAATCATGTGTAATGTTTATGATATTGATGCCCATGCAGAGTTAGCCGTCTTAATTTCAAGTGTCATATTTAAAGATTAAAACGTTTGGTAGGATCAAGTTAACAGTTAACATTATGAAGTCATAACAGTAAATGATACAGATAGAAGGCAACCATATAATTCCCCGGTGGGTTCTAGTTGATCCTTTCATTTTTTATTAAAATATGATGAAATTTCGGATGAAATTTTAGAAGATACTAGTAACGTAAATGATGACAAAATAGAAAAAGTATTCCATTCTTCATGCACGTTGATAATTATAATAAGTACACACCCTGCTTCCACACCTATGCTGATTTTGTTTAAACTAGGTAATGCGATACTCCAAAAAAAGGAAATCTACCTTAAAGTGGATGACTACCTTAAGTTTCCGATAATATCTCATTAGAGAATCAAAGATACTCTCCAGTCATATATTGACTTGACAGCGGGATACTTGTTAGCTTTGAGAAAAATAGAAATGAAAAGCCTATCTTTCTTAGTATAAAATGGAGTTTTTAAAAAAACACTGATAGAGAATAAAATGAATTTGATTATCTTCCTGATAGTGAGTATACTTTTTTTTAATTTCTACACTTTAAGGTAGGAGGAGGCTATTTGGCTCAATTGCAAATCAATTGTTCTTTTTTTCTTGTTTGTTTGTTTTTTATTATATTAAATTTTATATCTGTATTTTAAACCCAATGCAGCATTTTTCCCTTTTCCATGATAGAGAAAGAAAGCATAATTTATGTTATTTTATTTATAATATGAATTTGTTTGGTGGAGGATGAACATAATTTAGATTGTATGTAAGTGTGTTAAGCAAATCTCACTTTACACTTTTTCTTTCATAGAATATGCACATGTAAAGGAATACAAGTTTTTTTTTAAATTAGAATAGAATTTATTTGAAAGTTAAAATGTCGGAAATCAAATCTTTTACCAGCAATTTAATTGTGAGTTCTATGTATGAATTTAAAAAGATAACATTTCAAGACTAACCCTGAGAGCTTTTTTTTTATAATCAGTTTATTGTACGGGTACACATTCAAACCACGACTGCAAATGTACCACTCACAAAGACCCCGGATGTGAATTCAACGACAACAGTTGTCCCAGTCAGCAGGAGCACAGATAGTCAAACGACAGAGGCAAATGTACTGTTCACTGAGAGCCCGGATGTATATTCAACGGAAGCAAATGCACCAGCCACTGAAAGCCCGGATGTATATTCAACGGCAGCAAATGCACCAGTCACTGAAAGCCCGGATGTATATTCAACGGCAGCAAATGCGCCAGTCACTGAGAGCCCGGATGTATATTCAACGAAAGCAAATACACCAATTTCCGAGAACCCGGATGTATATTCAACGAAAGCAAATGCACCGGTCAATGAGAGTCCAGATGTAAATCCACCGTCGGATAAAACACCAGTAGTCGACAGCACAGGTGTTATGAACGGAAGCATTTCGATTATTTCCATTGAAATCATTGAGTTGCTCAACAGTAAACTCGCTTGGGTTCAAGATGAGGTACATCTGACATTGCTGAGAGATTACATGATCTTCTGTCCAAATCAGGACATGTGTCTGGGAGAGGAAATACGAAATAACGTTAACATTTCCAAGAAACAAGCTTGCACTACCTGCAGTTGCAGCGATGAATGTTTTAAAACATACAATTGCTGTCCCTCAAAAGACCTAGAGAATATCCGGTCAATGATTGAAAGAAACACTGGAGAAAGATTGAGGAATTCTTCACTGTCGTGTTCTGCATCGGAAATAGAAGGAATCAGAAGTACAACTAAACAGGTTACGAAGTATTGGATGATGACGTCGTGCCCCTCAAATTATCCTGAAAATGATATTCACAAAAAATGTACACAAGAAGCTCACCTCATGGCACCAGACATTTCCTTTCACAGACCAGTCACGTCCTATGTCACTGCCGTTACCTATAAAAATATATAT